TATCTAAAATTGCCTAATTAAATGCCAACATTGGCAATCTCCCACACCATGTCGCGACTGGAGTTGGCACTAATAGACTTTCACGAGGATATTAAATATATTCCAGAGGCCCAAGGTCATTTTATCATCCAGATTGATAAGTTTACTCGACCTCGTTGTCGTAGTCACTCTTTAGGTGGTCAAAATCACCTGATATTAGGTCCCTTGTTTCATCAATTATTCTTGCAGGTGTCGGATGCTCAATTTAGGAGTAAATCCCCTGTGCATATAGGAATAAAAGTAACTGTAGAAAGCTTATTGGCCCATAAGAGGCAGCTCCTATTTATAACCACCCAATTCCACTCGTATACGTATCCAACTCGCATTTGAAATAATCAAGGGACCCCACCTCCACGTTACACGGAAATTAGTTAAACAAATAAACAACCCTGTTACCGAACCGGTATTTACCCAGGTCATTCAGAAATCTGAACTTGTCCAGTTTATACCCATTGGTTCGTGTTCTGTTTTGTTGATACTTTTAATACCCTATTAATCTCCTTTGTCTATTCATCCACTTGTAAACCTCTCCTGTCACCCCTAACTCTTCGCCTTTCCATTGAATGCAATTTAAGCTTTGTTAGTCTTTCTGCACAAGACGGGAAACAAATTATTTGAATTAATTAGTCATCCTATGCAGGACACGTTAAAGTGGAATTTATACCCATTCTATATTACATAGACCTAAACTGAACTGCAAAATCTAAATGGTGCCAAACCAGAGTAAGTTGTAGTTGAAGAACACCACCAGGTGTCTTGATACTAACGCTGAGAGTAATAAATCCCAGTTTCCTATTTGCCTTATTACGAACATTTATGCACTGATTTTTTTACTTAAAATTTTTACTAATCGTAACTCCATAATCTCGACACTATTTAGCTCGTGTTTTGTAACTCATTACCTAGCTTCAAAACCTTAAATTTGTCGGCATTAAACTGCATTTGCCAATATTTTGACCATTTGAGAACCTTATTTAGGTTTTAAGACAGTCTTAAGTCTTAGGCAAGACAAAACCTTGTCTTAGGGTTGTGCATATTCTTGCTGAATGCCTTGACCTCCAGGATGTCTTGCTTCCTGACTGCCACTCATGGTAATATCTTGATGTGATGGCGAGTCTTCAGTGTTAATTACTCTCCCAATACTTGTATCATCGGCAAATTTGCAAATATTGTTGTTCTAACTTGAATCTAAATCATTTATGTAATGAATAACCGAGGTCCCAGGACAGACCATTGAGGCACTACACTTAAATTTTCCCACTCTAACGTAACCCCAATGTTTAGTTTTCTTGGGTATAGGAATGCCTTGATCCATCTTAATGTAGAACCCTCACCTGTAGATACTGTTTGTCCTCTGTTGCTCGTATTTTTGAGAGTAAATAGTACACTTGTTCCATTTCTCCTCCCACAAATGTTCCCCATACATTTCCTGTTCTTAAACACCTGTTTACTCATTACCAGAGCATGTGATCCTTTTCGGCAGTTATAACTGCCGGTATACCCTTTGGGACGATATTATAACTATTTATATTTAAACAATAATAATAGTTGGAGTTACTTTTTTTTTAATTCTGGTGAACCGACTAATGTTGACTTGCACACTTTCACCCTTTCCTGCCTTGATCTTTCTCTGCTCATATTCTCTTTATTTGGATTTCACATGGCGAGTTCTTGGCCTCCATAACATTTTCCCATCCTTGTTACATTTTCACCCCTCCCAAGGTGACAGTTTGCTACCTTTGGTCTGCATCATTAGACTTGGGACACGCAAAAGTGTTCCCTGGTAGAAATTGCTGCTCGGGGTGCATGCTGTAAGCGTGCAGCCTGGAAGAAACACCAGCGCCGGAAAACGCAGATTCTCTTATTTAATTTGGGGAAGAGTGCAGTGGCCTATGGGACCATCCGTGCGGCTAAGGAGAAGTTTGAAATCCTCGGTCATTATGATCGACACTGCTCTCCCCCAGATCTGAAAAACTGCGCAAGATGGCGAGTAAGTTTGTTGCAGATTTCTCCAGTCTTTCTCCTCCAAGGTTCTGTTGTGGTGGGATCAGATGTCGATCGCGTCCGAACTGGGTTCACACTTTTCGGCTGTTGGCTCTGGTTAACTGCTTCCTCCCTCTGTCCTTTCTCGGAATCCTTCTTGAATCTTGTCACTTTGCTTTTTTTTTCTTCCCCTACATCTCCAGCTATCCTATGAGTTTCTCTCCCTGGAACTCGTCTACCCTGATAGTCTGCTGTTCTATGGCAGCGGGCTCGAATAACATTCACAGGCGCTATGGCATCTCCCTCCATGCACATTTCAGTATTTACCGAATAGTTATAACTGCATCTGTGGGGGGAAGGGGGAGAGAAAATAGTAGTCAGTCCTTGAGAGTGGCTTGAGGCGGGTGTTCTTCCTTGTCGGAAATCGGGTTCACTTGGGACAAGAACGATACTGTCTCAACCTAGTTATTTAAGCCTTTCGTGGTAATATTCCTTCTTCCAAAGGCTTCCTCTGTCGTTCCTTTAGAGCGAGGCTTGGTACCACTTTCACTACCTGTTTTCGACAATATGAAAGAGTACCCCCAAAGAAGTGTTAAGATTACTTTTATTTTTCCTGGATGCCTTCAATGGTAGTCTTTCCAGCGTTTACTCTGGGAATTTCTCCACTTTCTATGTTGATGATTTTACCCTCTTCTATAGACGACTCGAATTTCCCCCAACGGTGGCTTTAACAAGGAATTGAAGCAGTGTCGTCATGGTACCAATTATGGCCCAAGTTTTCTATAACAGTATGTGTAAAGGCAGACTTTTTTTTATAGGAAGAACTTGCTCATCCTTAGTTTTTGTTAAGTTATTGCAGTCCCCTTTTGTATAACGTTTAGTAGAAACTTTAGCGGTTAATCTGACACGACTGTCTTGGTGGCCTCCCGTCTCTTGCCTCACAGTTGAATGTTTTAATGCCCTTAACTTAGTCTTCTCCAATACTTCGTAGAGAGAGATGCTTCTCTATTCACATTCCTCTCGCGTGCTGTCTAAACTCTGTTATGGCAGTCTTTTACTAGTCAGATTCTCTTTAAATTCTTCGTCTTGATGTTCTTCACCATATTGGGTTACACCTCGGCTCTGGTGTATTGCGTTTGACCCTGTGTGCTTTAATCGGCATCCTGTCTCTACAGGATTGGCGTGATCCCTACTGTTTCTGCTACCTTACGCGGTCCTTACAACACGGTCACTCTCGCTTATGTCGTGCTTTGATCGTTGCCTCTCCTGTGGGTCCCTGTTCCTGTTTATCTTCCTTTAACCGTTTTCTCTAGCGTGCAAGATATTAGTTACCAATATTCCTCAGTGTCGGACCATCCAAGGCCCCCATTGAGGAGGGGGTCACCACTTCAAAGCTCTGCGAAACCTTGATTCACCTTGCAAAAGCTTCTATTCCCTCCTACAATTGCCAAACTTACTTTCTTTGCACACGGATAGATAGATATTCTTCAGATACGTCCAAGTCTGCTGACGGTACAAGCTACTGTTATATTTCCTGATAACACCTGTGCGGCCTTTCCCTGTAGACCAGCATCTTTCCGGCAGAACTATGCCATTTCGTATGCTCAACTGTTTTCTCACTATTGACATTACTTTGTCATTGTAGTTGACTCTCGCAGTGCCCTCATAGCTCTTGTCATTTAACACGGCCCATCCTGTGGTAGTCGAAATTCAACTTTGTACGTTTGTCCAGCAGATTTAAAACGGTCAAGTTTATCATTTGGTACCAGCCATATTTGTTTCTTAATGAGCCTGCGAATGCTGCTGCCGAGGCTATCTGCACTTGTCCTATTTCTCGCACAGGATTTCCTTGAGATTGTCATTCGTTCCTCGGTGTCTGTTGACAGGGTCGTCGGTCGTATTACTGGTAACAATCTGCATGTTCTTAAGGATAATCTGTCTTCATTTGCACTACCGTAACTGGTGGTGGAAAATGGCTCTGGCGAGGTTACATATTGGCCGTACACGTTTCTCTCGGGCACTTAATGGAGCGCCGCCCTGCGCCTTATTGCCCGAAATGCATTGTCTTACGATTGTGTATATCCTTGCTGAATGCCCTGAACTCCAGGATGTCTTGCTTCCTAACTGCCACTCATGGTAATTTTTCCCACTATAAGAGATCAAAGATGTTACAAACTTTGAAAAATCTGCATGGAATCTTCAGTGCAGTGAGGTGTCATTTTGTAGTAAACCGCTACCGTTCTAGATCGGAATGTCCTCATCCCAAAGCTATCGGCATAAACTATAGTGATGCCCACTGTACATTTCTTGTTCATGTATGCACTGTTAACGTGGTCCAGAAGCTATCATTGTCAAAGGTAAGATGCTGGATCTGATGGTACTTACAATCGTGTATTTCATATATGGATATATGAATGGATCTATAGCGTATATATATTTTTTCACACAATTGAACACAAATCTATGGATACATGTTTGATAATTAGACTTGGGAGATGAGATATTCCCAAGATAGTGGGAATACTTGTTACTTCAGTATTTCTTAAAACAGAAGTAGGATTGCTTCATAATTTAAAGCTTGCTCTGTGACTTGACCCATGAGTTTTTACTTCTATAACCCTAAAGACTTTGCACATTTATATTGTATTCTTGTTATATTTCTTAGTCACTGCCTTAGATTTCCATTCAGGTCTAGTTATAAATGTTCTTTCGCTGGCTTTCATAGGAGATGGCTCCAGCTAAACATCCAGTCGCCCAACATTGGACATGAGAACTGTTAAGAGAATTTACTTTTGGGCTTGGAAGGGAGCCTGTGTTCAACAGTAGTTGCTTTCAATAACTCCTATTAAACCGTGGCTATAGGGAATAGTCTTAGTCTTGGTTGGACATCTATTTTAAATATTTTCTTGAAAAATATTTTCCATGTTTAACCCTAAATTTCCAGCTTTCTGTACTTTAATTATTTGATGGTTTTTCAGGTGGTATACATGGCTAGAGATCCCAAGGACGTGGTTGTATCGCTATTCCATCACTTCTGCAACGTAAGGTTCCACAACTATACTGGCACCTTCGACAACTTCGTCAAGCATTTCATAAACAATGATTGTAAGTAAATCCGTTTTGGTGTTTGAGAAGTCTCTACAAGATGGCACAAATTATGTGCTCAGATAAAGCTAACACGATCAGAACCTTAATATGGTGTAAAAAAAAAAAAAAAAAAAAATACTATTCATGCGACTTGTTATATCATTGCCAATACATTGGTTAATCTGTTCTAATGTGTAGCACATGACGGCTGGTATGCTAAGTCCCCCCACACCCAGTGGCAGACATTTGACATTAATAGCCACGACGTGACAAAACTTGTTTATTTGGAAGCTACCCATTAACTATAGGTGCAAGTTTGTAATTTTTTTGTTTATCCAGGGCGTAACTTTTGTAAATTGCTATGGTTGTTAGTGCTTGTACTTAGTGGTTTTAAATGTTAATCTTTCAGTTCTCTTGCCGAATGGTAACTTTAGGGTGTTGAAGAGGTTTCTATACTGGGTTATAGGTCTGGTAGGTTATTTGAGGCACTTGGTAGCCTGTTTGGAAAATTTGCAGACGCTTTAAAATCCGACCTCGTAGTCTGTTACCTGGTACCACCCATATATTTCCTTGTTTACTTTTAATTTACAACTTCTTTATCGTAGTAGGATGGCAGTTTAATTGCTGCTCCTACTCGATTTACTAATATACTAGTGGTTAAGCAGGCATAACATCGGCACATGTGGAATCTGATGGCATCCTCTTCTTTATTGGTAACCTGACCTGTTACCTTAGTCAGGAAGTGTGCTTTGCATCAGGTCATTGTACCCCATTCCCATGGTGGGCCCCATGGTGGGCCCCATGGTGGGACTTGTCATACAATACAGCATACTTAAAGTTGGATCTTAAATGTGTTCTTTTGATTTCGTATAATTTCTGAGCAACATTAAATTTTCTGCAGCAACTCTGATTAGACCACATCCAGATAGTTGCCTAACGGGGCCCCACGGCTTCATAACTTTCCATGCATTAAGATTTCTTATATTTAGCGACAATAGTTGTTAGTTACGTTGTCTTTTACTGCAACCCTGTTTTGGTTCACCTATTACAAAACTGCAAGTAATTGATTTTATAGTTGAATGTAGTAGTATGTAGCGGTAAATTGTTGACTTCCATATTCGTCAGGTTCAGTCATTGCACCAATATTATATTGCACCCCAGACAGTTTAGCATGGCCGTTGACGATGTGCCGTCTTGCTTCAGCGCTTAACGTTACTGTCCTGCCTCCATCGCCAAACATGGAGGGCTGGATGCTAGTGTGGCTACTATAGTTATAACTTTCCATTGGGCGCAGTGTCTTGAATACGTCGATGGGTAGACTCGACCACGGCCGCCGGAACCCCTTTTAACAGAACGACTGAGCACTCTAGAAGGTGGAAAGCAAAACTGTACAGCCTGGTTGATGGTGCTGGCCTTGCGTCCTCTTGTGAAGTTTCATCTTGCCACTAGTGGGGTCTCATCCGGTACCTGTCTGCTAAGTGAAGGTGATTTTGCTCACGCCATCCAGATCAGGGCTGTACCCACACCGTTTAGAGCAGCTAGGGGTAGACCCGAGGCTTCTGGTCTCTGCGATGCTTGCCAGAAACCAGGGACCCTGGGCCACATATTCCAGGCATGCCATAAGACGTGGGGCTCGGGTGAAACGTCATGACGATATCACCTGGTTCGTAGCCGGCCGCTTGCTGCAAAGAGGTATTGAGTTGGAACGTGAAGTCCTTAAACCGGATGGAGGGACCTTCTGTAAGCCTGACATCATAGCTTGCAAAGGTGATGAATTTTGTATTTTTAGAGACGTAGAGGTCTGCTGATAACTTCATTCTCCCGTCTACATCAGAGCAAGTGTGAGAAGTACGGCACCCCAGAAATCCTTCAAAAGGTCGGGAAATATACCGGGAAGCACACAGCCTCCGCCTCTTCAATAACCCTTAATTGGAGAGGCGTGGTCTTCAGGATATGGGACTCGCCAGGAACGACCTTGAGATTTGCTCTGAAAGCCCTGACCTGGACATATTCTATCTACAGAATATGATCTAAGACCACATTTAAGGGGGGGGGGGCAGACCATTTTAGTCCCAGAATCACCGTGCACAGGGTGCATAAGGGTTAATATAGTCTTAGGTGAACAGCGGCCAGGATAGCTGGTAGCAATCTATCTAAGCAGTCATCTGGAGTACCACTTCTCCAAATGGTTTCTCACAAGAGGTGGTCCACCGAGTGGGTAAGGCGGCGACTGGAGGGACCCCCATGTGCATACATGATATCCCTCCTGCTCCGGGGCCTTGTTAGCTTCCACTATGAATAGTTTTTTTCCATGTGTGTCGCTGTAAAGTCACCAATCCTGCTGCTTAGGCAGCTTGTTGTTTTGCCTTCAGCTTTAGTTCTTTTTAATGATATACTGTGCACCTCTCCCTTTGTGTGCTGTCCCATATAATGGAAAAATTTGTATTTTGTTTTTGTTGTTATTATAGTTATATTAATCTTGTGGGTTGTGATGATCTACCATTTTGTTTTAGTTGGATAGGGAATTAGGTATGCTTAGGGGTGCCTTCTCGCCATGCCCTGTGGCTGGGGGGATTGGTGCCCTGAAGCTACAAACACACTATACCTCCCCCCCCCCCCCCCCCCCCCCGAAGTGGCAAGGGGAGTTAGGAGAAAACAATAACAAACTGGCTTTCATCATGTCATGCTATTGCGATGGGGCCGGGGGGGGGGGGGGGGGGGAAGAAATGCAGCTCTTGCTAGGCTGCACGTTGGCCAGATATAAACTCTTGGACCCCGGAGGAACAGGGTGTTGTTCCATTATCAGAGCTGCAGTATTCTGCTCGTATTCGTGCACCATTTTGTAGAATGTTCAGATTTCCTTCTTTCCATCAACCTTTTAATATTATTCTTTGTGAATAGTGTTGCCATCGGTCTTGTTTCTTGCATTATCATGGTTGATATTTAGCGTCTTAAGAATATCCTATGGTATTGCTTTAGTTTTCAGTGTGATTCATATTGATAACTGGTTATATGCATTGGCAGCCCTGGCATGTTGGAAAAACTAGCACAAACATGTGTAGTGTTAACGTTTACCAAGTGTTTGGGCATTATAATTTGTAATGGTAGAAATTCTTGTGTTCGTGTTGCCTTTCTGGATACACAATGTTGCAGAGGGATATAGTGTGATGTTGATAGTATTATTCTACTGAAAGCATTCGGCCGACAAACTAAAGATGTGGTGATGGGTTGGATGTTTGGCAAGATTCTGCCACCATTTGAAGTTTAAATCGGTTTAAATATCATCCTCGCAAATGTTCTGACTATTCGGCATTTCCTTGCTTATTGGAAGGAAAGCGGGTAAATGTTATAAGTTGGCGAATTCAGCTTTCGAGTGTACGTACATGTATTCATCTAGTTCTGGCGGGGGTTGAACTCTGCTCTTTTGGCCTGCCTCTCAAGTCAATCGGCTGTAACTATATTTTTTTTTGTGCGCGTGCGCAAAGACACCCACCCACCTACCTAGGTAACAGCTGTCTTACCCCCAGGTACCTATTTATTGCTAGGTAACGGCGACATCAGGGTGAAAGACTTTAACCATTTGTCTCTGCCTGGTCAGGAAATCGAACCCGGGCCACAGAATTAGTTTTCAGCGCTGTCTGCTCGGCTACGCGCGCGCGCGCGTACGTACGTGTGTATACGTGTACTCGCCTAGTTGTCCTTGATGGGGGGGGGGGGGGGTGTTAAGCTTTGATTCTTTTGGTCCCTCCTCTCAACCGTCAATCTACTGGTGTACGGATTCCAGAGCTTCTCAAGCTCCCTCATACCTATATTAGAAACTGTATATGGAGTCTGCCACCACATCACTTCCTAGTGCATTCCATTTACTAACTGCTGACACAGAAAAAGTTCATTCCCAATGTCTGTGGCTCATTTCGGTACTAGATTTTCACCCGTCTCCTTGTACGTATACCACAAGTTTTAAATACATCCTTGTCTACCCTGTCAATTCCCTCGAGAATTTTGTGTAGTGATCGTGTCCCCGAGCTCTTCATTCTATCGACGTGAGGGACAGTTTCCTCGGCCTTTCCTCGTAACTTTTGCCTCTTGATTCTGGGACTAGCCTAGTGGCATACCTCTGAACTGTGGCATACCTTTTCCAGCTTCGTTTTGTGCTGGACAAAGTACGGGCTTCACGCTGGGGCCGCATACTCCGTGTTCAGGTTTGGGTGTTGTGCAGTGTTGTAGGTGGGTACCTTCTGTGTTGGGACAAGTGGGATAAGGCTGCTCTAGCCATTGAACGTAGGTGGTTAGTATTGGCCACGAGTGCAAGTACTTTTTGGTTTTCTTCAAAAGTTTAGTTGCAGTTCTCCTTGGTAGTCTTGTAATAAGTGTGCAGTGTCGAGGTCTGCAATAACTCCTAGTGTCTTGTTGCAAATTTTAACTTTGCATTAATTTTAATATTTAGTTAAGATAATTGCTTCAGTATTGGAAATAACTGCCGTTAGCTTGAAATAGCACACTAAACAAATGTGTATACCTCCAAAATATAATTTTTAATTGCAAAATTTAAAGACTAAATTGTTTCGTGTGTAAAAAGTAGTTAAATGTAATTCGTATCTACAGTGTTGTACAGTCCCTACTGGCCCAACTTGATGATGGCCTGGGAGCAAAAGGATGACGCCAATATGCACTTTGTGTTTTATGAAGACTTGAAAGCTGACATTAAGAAGGAACTTGGAACACTGAATGAGTTCCTGGGCACCAACCTCTCCCAACAGCAGCTTGAGAATGTAAGTGTCATGATTACTCTTCCTATTAATGATTTAACTTTTCGAAATTAACGCATGGTTTTAGGGATGCTGTCCTAAGTTGACTTTCAGAACTTTTTTTTTTATTTGTACATGCAAGCATGAGCATAAATACACTAAAACGAGAACAAAACGGAACACAAATTACAAAATCACAAAAGCATAAATGGACAAAATAAGACAATAAATACCAGCCTGAAGGGCCGACAACAAAAACACAACAAACATAATGCAATACCGTACGTAAATAACGGTAGAAGACATGAGGGTAACGTTAGCTACACACACACACACACACACACACACACACACACACACACACACACAGAATGCATATAATAACAATAAACAGAACATAGCACAAATCACAAGTTAAAATCACAAAAGCGCACAAGTACAAAATTACAAAGGGTGACAGGGTGGACAAAGACACACTTTAGCACGGGTGGGACATGAACAAGGGGACACAGGTAGAAACTTAGTACCCAGATGAGCCAGAGAGACGTTAGAATTTTTTCAGTGTCAGAGTAGTTAATACATGGAATGCACTAGGAAGTGACGTGGTAGACGCTGACTCCATACAGTTTCAAAAGTAGATATGATAGAGCCCAGTAGGCTCAGGAATCTGTACACCAGTTGATTGACAGTTGAGAGGCGGGACCAAAGAGACAAAGCTCAACCCCGCAAGCACAATTAGACGAGTATAAAAACATAAAATACCGACCTGAAGGGCCGACAACAAACGCCCCGTAGAAAGCACAAACATAATGCAAGACGGTACAAAATATATAAATAGGACAATACATAATGCCCAAACCTGCACTCCATAACCCAACCTTGAAAACACAATACAAAACAAGCCTACCGGCCCCAGAAACACACACGGAGAGGCACCAATACATAATGACAATAAGAAAAACTTAAATATAACGCATATAAACAAAGAAATTAACAGTGGGAGTTCATAATAATTGGAATAAAAACAGGCATGGCCACAAAGCAGCCCAAAGGGCACGCAACCACGCCACAAACAAGCGCTCATCGGAACTCGCAGGAACCGGAAATATGGAGCATGCAGGAACCGCCAAAACAAACCCGGTCCATTACAGAGATTACACTAAATTGATGCATCAAATGATAAAATCCACAAGGGCCGTGACGAGGGTTCGTCACAGCCCTTGATGCAAGGGCGAAGAGGGAGAACGGCCTATTGACATGGCTCGAGTGCAGGGGGACGTTGTGTAAAAACCCTGGTTCGTGCCTCGGAGAGGGTGCGGGATCCAGTAAGTTCAGTAGAACTTCGGTTTCAACTCGCTTTAACCCTGTCGTAGCTGTCGATTAAGGCAGTGTCTGGGATGCTCCCGGACGCAGGTTCGAATCCTGGTCACGGCCCTTGTGGATTTGTTCAAACCCGGTCCACCCACACATACTTGCAACCACACCCCACATCCACGGACACAACCCCCACAACACACAGCAAACAATAAATCACTTGAAAGGAGAACAAACCTCAATGGGAGGTGAATATTTCGTTGGAATATTCCGTGGAAGTAGAAGATAACAAAAAAACATACGTAGGCCGAAGAGATGGCCCCGCCGCCGGATGCACAGAAGGCGAAGGCTGCCGAAACTGTAACACCACGCTTAATACAGCACGAGATGCAGAAGAGATAGCCGGAGACGGGAGAGGCGGCAAAACCGCCGTCGATGAAACGGGGCACAAGGCTGGGGGTATGGAACCCCTAGAGCAAGCCGCCATTTTAAAAACCACCACCAGATCACCACGGTCACCATGAGAACCTCGTCAGGAACCCCCCCTCCCATGCAGAACCAGAACCAACCGACGCGTGTGATGCACCCGAAACAAGCACCACAGGCACCACATCAGAAGGGAAGTTAGAAACACCGACCCTGGCAGCTGCAGGCACATGGAACTCCACCACCCCTGAAGAATGCAACGAAACCGAAACCACTCTGACCGTCGCCGGAAGATCTAGTCGTCGAACTCTCCCACATCAGCCCAGGCAGAAAAAGAACGCCAGGAACGCTTAGGCACCGGCCGCACATCATCACAGCCGGATGTCGACCTAGAGACCCGGGCAACACAAGCCGGGCGAACACACTCTCTGCAGGACGGCAGCATTCTCAACCACTTGGGGCACCATGTCGAGTGGTGGGAGGCCCTACAGCCACCCCAACACCCAGCGAGGGACAGGCACAACAGCTGAAGAACACGAAGACGAGGGAGCCGTGCAGAGGGCAGCCAGAAGAACCACGGGAGCATCGAGGACATCAACCGGGGCAAGACGAGCACCCGACGGCGACTCAACTTCTGGAGGAGAGGCGACATAAATAGGAGGCAGCACAGGGGCACTTCAGCAGCCAAGGAGTCGTTCACATCCACAGCCACCGAAGCCTCCTCCACAGGGAGCGGCGGGAAGTCCTCTTCATGGAAGAGGTTGACGGGCAGGCGCAGAGCACCCCAGCAGCCTGATGGCCACAACGGTAACACGTACGAGGCTGGCGGGCGTAATACACCCTAGCGTAACAACCCAGGAGCTTCACTGAGGACAGAATTTCCGCCTGCAGCCTCATACCCATGGTGCGAATATTCGACCGCACACCCTTAAGCGTTCCCGAGGAGAGCGGGTGCAACTGCACACTGACAACATCTCCAAGCTGGCCGCTGTAATGCCGCAGCAGCCCCTCTGGGAATTCCAAGGACGCCCCATGCACACTAACATACGTCATGGCACCACTCCGATCTAAGACGGTCCGTGCCTGCACCTTCCGGCACGGGCAAGGTCCACCTCTCATAATGACACAAAAATGCCTGGTATACCTTCTCCATAGTAAATTTGATAACCCTACGGGCAGTCGCTGCCATAAACATCTACCACAGGGATCCGCAGCATTTCGCACAGCACGAGCTCCACCTCGGGATATCCAGCTTGATCAGAAAACTCGAGGCCCACAGACTGGGCAAGCACAACAAGGGGAGGGATGCTATGATAGTCGCGTATCGGCCCCATTTCGCCGACACGCCAAATAATACCCTCCCGCTCGCAACTCCAGTCAACAAATTCGACTCTGAACTAGTCCGGAGTACATAGTGTATATGGGATAAAATGCGTGGTTGGGAGGGAGGCATGTTGTCCCAGGGCTGTTCTGGGACCTCTATTTAGCAATGTAAAAAAAAAATTTGACATGGCAGACAACCCGGTGGCTGAGCGGACAGAACACTGTACGCGTGATCCTGTGGCCCCGGGTTCGATCCCGGGCGCGGGCGAGAAACAATGGGCAGAATTTTTCACCCTGATGCCCGTTTTACCTAGCAATAAAAAAGTACCTGGGAGTTAGTCAGCTGTCATGGGCTGCTTCCAGGGGGTGGAGGCCTGGCAGAGGACTTGGCCACGGAGACGCTAAAGCCCTGAAATCATCTCGAGATAACCTAAAGATAACATTAGCAAATAATGATTTATCAATATTCAAACTATACAAATAGGGCGGAAACATGAATTATGAAAATAAAGGCCAAAAGATTACCCAAGGTTCTAAAAAATTATGGAAGATTGGTAGATGGAGTTTATACCTTCTGGAAAAAAAATGGAGGGTTGAGTGATAAATACCAGTTACTCTTTGTAACTTTGACAGTGTATTGGCGATCAAATAACCACATCTTTAACTAAAAGATTAAAGTGATGTGATGGAAGAATGTGAATGGGGGGGGGGGGGAAGGGGGAGTATGTTAATAAAACTCGTATGAATATAATTTAAAATACACTGCAACACACGCATTGGCTTAGTTTAGAATCGGGAGAGACCTTGGTAAATACTTGTTTCAAAATGTTGTTTTTGGAACCTGTTATTGGGGGTAACATTAAGATTACTAATATGGATGATTTAAGTCTTTAGTGATGACTAATAGATCACTTGCAGTAAATCTTTATTATTTTTATTAAAGCATTGCGAAACGTTCAAAGTAACTGGGATCTTTTTACAATACAAAATATATTTCAATTTTTTAGTATTCTCTTGTGGGTATTAGTAAGTTACTGGGGTTAGGTTTAGTAGTATGAATGTTATTGGCCGACTAAATGGCTTGTAACAATTAATAATGGCACTAAATATGATCAGCAACACTTACATATGCCTTAATGTGGAAGATTGAGATGCAACACCAAACATAAGGAAAATTCTTGTGGTCGTGTTTGTATCATTAGTAAATGTCCCCACTTCCTTGTAATGAAGTTCATTAATGGTAATTATCAAAGTGTGCATGAATGCATGACTCGATATTCCTTTCCTTCAGTTAAATAAGTTAATTTGATGTTGGAAGGTGGGTGATGGGGAACGGAGAGACTGTGAGAAGAGAGTATTAAGTGAAACCAGAATGTGCTTTTAAACATCTTTTTCTTAACGAATAAACTCTACTAAACATGAATATGATTAAATGTTTGAACAGTTTCGGTTTAATGTACTGAATACACTACGTTAGTCATTCTAAATTGTTGGGTTACATTTGCTCGAGGGAAATGTTGCTGAAAACAGATGTTCGGTTCTCAGCGACCCTGGTTTACCGCGGGCTGGCACCGTGACGCTGGTTTATCGCGGGCTTGTCTGAACCTGATATATATGGCGACGGTATATGAATTGTCAGATGCGGTAGACTTGTTCCGGAATAACCGGCTTCTTGGACCGCCGCCATTTTGAGTTGTAATGATTATTGGTACAGTGTAATGGTCATTAAATTATTTTGCTTAAAGTTAAATTCCATGTAGAATGTTCTTGGACAAGAGATTCTTAGACCATTCTTAATATAAAATACTTTGGTATCTTATTTTGAATAGCATTTACCCCTGCCCCCTCCCGGTTTTATTTTAATTTTCCATTTCTACAAACAGATAGATTAAATGGACGACGATCAATGCTATACTCTGGTTCCTATGAAGCTTTTTGGCAAATCTTAACAGGAACAAGTCTTGAGTGGGAAAGATTATTGGCCCACTTTTAATATATTAAATTTTAATCACTAGGTATGTTTTATAGAAATTAATTCAGTTAATACTGGTGGAACATGGAATTAGCAGTCACTTGTGCTAAACATTGCACTCCATTCGCCTATCCCACTTCAACCCAGTTTTGTTATGCTAGGTAACACTTCAGATTACATAATTTGTTCAAACCTATTCTATTTTGTGTACTCCTATTTATCTGCAGGATAGAGCTCTAGCTCTTCGATCCCGCTTTTCTAGCACTTGGTCGCCTAATGCAATGACTCCTGACCTAATTTCCTATCATACCTGCATTTAAGTTTGAATAGTTACCCACTACCCTGAAGCTAAAGGAAAACTTTCCAACATAACTATGCAAACAGTCTCGAGCTTCCATCCGTGCCCCCTTGTTCTAGTGACATACATTGTAAAATGTTTCCACCTTGTCAATCCCATTCAGTTTTATAAGCCTGTATCATGTCTTCCCCCCCCCCCCCCCAATCCCTCCCGCCTTTCTAACCTAGTCGGGTTTTATTCCTTCAGTCTGTCTTCGTACCTCATTCCTCACAGCCCGTTGCAAATTACTACTCCTTTTCGAGCCTCCTCCTTTTTGTTTCTATTTTTTATGGGAGCGGCATACTCAGACTGGTCTCACATAGGCAGTGAGAAGTTAGGGCGGAATACTCAGACTGGTGTATCTAAAAACGGGGGCTCGAAAAGACGCATAAGTTTGCAACGAAACTTGTCCCAAGGTTGTGAGGGATAGGGTATGAACAGCGTCTGAAGGGACTGAACCTGACGACACTAGAAAGGAGCGGAGAGATACGGAGACTTCAGCGGATTGACATTGGAAATAGACAAAATGTTCAGAATACTAACAGATCAGAGGCGTGTGTAGACTCGTCAGAGATGGAAACTTTGGTTTAGAGACGTTAGGCAGTTTTCATTTAGCGTGAGTAGTTGTAAAACAATATGAACTAAAGGAGCACATAGTGGATGTGCGAGTTGTGGATGCGAGAGTTTTGTGGAAGGGTGTGGGTGTGTACTCCCCTAGTTGTGCTTGCGCGGGTTGAGCTTTGGCTCTATGGTCCCGCATCTCGACTGTAAATAAAGTAGTGTACAGATTCCTGAGCCTATTGTCTACACTTAAATC